TTAAAAGGTCATTTTTCCTAAAAATCAAGGTTCGACCGACCATAAATTTTTCATTAATTGAAGTATCAACATTTATTTAAACCACACACAACTCATGCGATAATACCAATGGATTACACCCAACATAGGACATATATAGGAAGGGAATGCCTTCTGGGGCATAGTTCAATGGTGTAGATGATATGAGTAATGCAGTCTTAACTAGTGTTCTAAAATTCGCACAAATGCGCCGCCTAGGCGCGACACGCGGCCAAAATGAGTCGAATTCGGGAATGCGCGGGAAAATGCGTTTTCCATCTAAAAGGCGACGCAATGCGGGCACCTAGGCGCTATTAATCCCGCCTAGGCGCACCTAATGCGCGCATTATGCCGTCTAGGTTCGCATTATGCTGCCCAATTTTTATTTTTATTACTTTTTTTTTTGGGTAAAAAATCTATTTTTTTTTATATAAAAATATATTTAATACCTTAAAAATACGAAACACATTATGACGCTTATTTTTCGCATTGAAAAGCCTAAACTTGTGATTCTTGATTCTCGATTTCGACGCATCGCAACGTATTACGCATTTTAGAACGCTGGTCTTAACTGAGCTGACAGCCGCAGTGTGAGAGTTCGATTCCTGCCTCTTACAAGGAATGGAATTGGACTCTTTGTGGGTAATAGTATGACAGTTCTTGTACACTGTCTTACTGAGATACATTCCGCAATTTACCTCCTCCACAATACTTTAGGGGTGGGACAAGGCCGGGTTCAACCTTTTAGAAGGGAACTCTTTCTCTCTCTCTAAATGGTGCATATCCTATAATTACGTTGCATAGATAGAAAGAAATAAATACAAGATTGTGTAAGCCAGAGAAAACCTTAACCAAACGAAATTAAAAGAAAAAAAAAATGGAATACGGCGTTCATTCAAGAACCATCTTCTTCCTCCTCTTCTTGTTATACGCCACCACAGCTTTTAACCTAACCACCCTCAGATTCGATGAAGCCTATTCCCCTCTCTTCAGTGATTTCAACATTCAACGGTTACCCGACGACAGGTCCGTTCGTCTCCTCCTCAATCGTTTTTCAGGTAACCATCGCATCTAAAAGTCACATAAAGGTTATCTGTATTTACGCATGTATCTATACGTTGGGAAAAATTCTGTGGGTTGGAAAAACTCTGTTGGAAAATCTTGGAAAATTTACGGCGGAATTGATGTAAACTTGTTTTTCTACTTTTGTAGTGTGTGTGTGAGAGAGAGAGTGAGAGAGAGAGAGAGTACGTGTATAGATATAAAAGTGAGCGTATACATATTTTGGCTATTGAATTTACAAAAAAATTATATATTTTTTGTTCAGGTTCTGGAATTATATCATCTGATTATTACAACTATGGTTTCTTCAGCGCAAGCATCAAGTTACCAGCAGAAAATACCGCTGGCATTGTCGTTGCGTTCTATGTAAGTACAATTTTTTTTCATGGAATTAATTTTTCAGACATTAAAACGAACAAAAAATATATTTATTTATTTAAATATATGTTTCCTTTTCTTTTAAATTTTTTATGATTATGTATCAATTTGTGAATCTTGCATGTGGAAAATTAAGAAAATTAGGTTTCTCCCCATGCTATCTCTACATTAAACCTTGTTAAAAAGGAAAAGACCCTTCTTTTTTTTTCGAAATATGTACGTCTAGATGATTAATAACCGAGACAAGTTTTGGCGTAGACATCGAATGTAGACACATTTGAAAAGAACCACGACGAATTAGACATCGAGTTTATGGGAAACGTAAAGGGGAAACCGTGGAGGTTCCAAACAAACATGTATGGCAATGGAAGCACATCCCGTGGAAGGGAGGAGAGGTATCGATTGTGGTTCGATCCGAGCAAGGATTCTCATCGTTACAGCATTCTTTGGACCCCTAAGAACACCATGTAAGTTGCTTATTTGATATCACTTATGCTTAATTTGTCTTTTGATTTAAATTTTCACTTTATTATTCTTGAAATGTTGGTATAGAATGCCTTATCCTAAACTTACTGTTCTTATCTCCACGTTGTTATGAAATTTTTTATTAAGTCGAATTTACTCAAGAGCGAAGAACATCATCATGAAATTTCAAATTAGTTCATCAAAAAGTGGCCTCAACGGTGGATTTTCCAGTTACTAAAACATAAAAATTTCCACTTAAAGACGAGCGACAGGAAAAAATGACATTAGTAAATCTCTACGCGATACCTTGATCGCTAAAGGGTATCTCCCTTGTGGGCGATGAAAGCGATAATCTTCAGGAGAACGAACTCCAAAGTTTTCGTCGAAACAGAAAAATATAGCAATAGAAATAGAAATAAGTTCATCCAAAGTAGAATAAAAGTTTCTTTTTAATAAGTAGTTTACTATCAAAGGCTGCAAGAAAACTGATTGAGAACTGTTTCTTCAATAGGTAGTCCCCACACCCTACCCCCATGAAACCATCAATTGTTGAAATAAATTTAGTTTGACTTTAACAAAATTAAAGCTTGGTTTATCCTTGGAATAAAGTAAATTAAGTGTTATCTTGTTAGGTTTAGTAGTCCAAGAGAGTTTATGTATTTCACCTTCTATCTATGTGAGATTACCCTTGACATGGCTTGGAATTTAGATATATGTTAGCTCGTTTGAGAATATCAATCTCGAAATCCGACTGCGCATTTGAGTTTTAAATAAATTGAATTGCTTGTTTGAACTTGATGGCTCTGGAACCACGTCAAGCGAAGTAGTCTAAGCCTTATGTTTGATTTGTTTACTTCTTTAATTGGCACGGGGTTTACTCTCAAGATAGAGAAGTGAAACCCTAACTTTGTACTTTGTATTCTTCAAAAAATGAAGTAAGAAAAACTGAACATGGCTGAAGACAAGACATGCATGTATATTTATCTTTAAACGGGTGAACAAATTCCTATCTCCTAGTATTTAGAGTATATTGTTTCAAGAATACGTAGGTAATTCAAATTTCTTAGATAATAAAAGATTTTGATAGTATGCAATGTGTTTGAGTATTTCTATCTCAATTATAATCCGTTTATGATCTAACAACCCGAATACATTATATATTTTAGATTTTACGTGGACGAAGTTCCGATAAGGGAAATCGTCCGCAAAGCAGCCATGGCTGGGGATTATCCATCAAAGCCAATGTCACTATATGCCACCATATGGGATGCTTCAACTTGGGCCACAAATGGTGGCAAAAAAAAAGTAGACTACAAATATGAGCCATTTGTGTCTGAATTCACAAACCTCGTACTTGAAGGCTGCATTGTCGATCCCATTGAGCAAATTTCATCAACAAACTGCACTGATAGAATTGCAAGTTTACTTGCTAAAGAATACTCCACCATTACTCCGGAGGGTCGAAAATCGATGAAATGGTTCCGCGAAAAGTACATGTACTATTCGAGTTGTTATGACAATATAAGGTATCCAGTGCCACCACCAGAATGTGTTGTGGTGCCTTCAGAAAGGGAGATGTTTCAAAATAGCGGAAGGCTAAGGGAAAAGATGAAGTTTGATGGCAGCCACCAGCGGCACCGCCGCGGTCGGAGATCCCGGCGGCAGAGAAAAGTTGAAGCGACCGGACAAGTAGCTGCTATGTGAAGTGGCCAAGAAAGTGCTGCACGTGTGATGTGTATGTATATATGCTAAAATTGATCCTCTACTATTTCTTGTAGAAATTAGGCTAGACAATTTTATGAGTTTGTTGTGTCGAGTATATATATATGTATATAGTTTGGCCAAATTGTATAATAGACATGAATTTTGGTCTTCACTTCTTAAGCCACATCGATTTTCATGGACTCCTTCCGCAAATATCGAGATCACGATATATCATAGCAAAAGTTTGATATCTCAAATTACTTGTAAATAAATTTTCTTTGACATATTTCTTTCATCTTATTAAGAGCTTGTTTGGTACAAATTAAAATCAGATTTTAATTTAAGTCAAAGTCAAATAATCAATATTAATCACATCTTTCATGGGTCTCACAGCTTTTCAACCACACATTTCAAAAACTTTTATCAAAATCTACTAAGAATTTAATTCTAATCCCCACCAAACGCCACCTAAGTTTTTATAATTTAAAAAGTTACTCGGGAAGATAATGGACCATTTACCCCTAAGACCAAATTGTAACTTTGTAATAAGTGAAGTTCATTACTCAAACATGAAGTACCTTTAATAAAGGTGCATAACTAAAAGAGGATTGACTAGCTTGGGGACAATTAGTTCAACCATTAAACCTAAAGATACCAAACCATTCGAAGACCATTAATATAAGATGTACTGAAATTGATACCACATAATCATTCTCAACAACTTCATAAGAATATCGAGTCCATATAAAAATCAAAGATCTTGATTGGCCAATCCAATAGAAAAATTCATAAAGTAGAGAAGTATTGTTAATTTCTTAATGCTCGTTTCAAGTTTGAAGTATCTTCGGTACAAATAAGAATTAATTTCTTTACATGGTCTTCTTCATGTAGATCATATAGAATCTATGAAGTAATTATTTATAAGTACATTTTGTTCGACAGACATTCCTACAAAAATAGAAAAGGATCCCATGATCCTGAATCAACCGTACATGGGAACCCAAATCCGAAGTTTGTCTTTCACCTAATTTTTCAAAAACCTAAGACACGATCAAGCCATCCTAGAAGTTTCCTTGCTTCAGTCTTTAACAAACCAACATATACTAGGTTGTTTTAGGAGCATTTCACATGCCATCTAAATTCAGTCTGAAGAAGAGTTTAATCAAAATAACTAATGAATGTACTGTATTTTACTTGAAAGTTTATGAATTAAAAGAATGTGTAGCATTTCCATGTAGAAATTTATCAGGACAAAAAACAAGGATATGATCATATGACAAAATGAGGCCCTATACATTTTTGTCCTTGGAAGTTAAGCCATNTACCATACAAACTTGGTTGCAAGAGAATAATGGAGCCCAATGCCTTAAAAATCATGGAAACTGGAAGGACCCTCCAATTTGATTGTTACCTGATGGGGGATTAATGGCAACCCAAAGGAGGGAAATAGTAATTGCAATAAGTCCCGACCAAACGAATACAATAGTAGGTGTCCTTCCTCGTCTTCCCATGAGTCCTTTCGCGAAAGGATAGAGATGAACCAACACCCAGAAGCTAAAGAATACCCCTCCAATCAAACGGCTCCACTGTGGTATGGTGCTATATATAGTTCGGCTAAAGCCAACTGCTATGGCGATTAAGTTGGTCATCATGATAGCGATTGGGGGAATCATCAAGGAAGTCCATTTTAAGATGAAGAGATCGGCAAATTCATCATCGTTATCATCACCACCAGATTTCGATGTCAATGTAAATGAGATCTCAATCCCGGCAATCACTTTCAGTAGTCCCTGGAGCACAGCAGCAAGATGAGCACTTGTCCCTCCAATCAACCAGAATTGCTCGTTACGCCACCATTCTTCCAAATTAATGCCCGACCACTTGATCTCGAGCACGGCAAGCATGCAAAGCGTCAGAGTGATGACGAGCAAGTACGTGAGGAAGGTGACATTTAGTGTCTCGACAATGAATTGGCCAGAAAAGAGGGACAATGCCGGGAGAAAGCAGTAAACAATTAGAAATAAGGACGTAAAAGGATATATGCCAACGTTTAGGTATGCAACTCTCTGCAAAAGCTTCATCCTAGGACTAGCCAGAAAAGCATTATTACGTGAAAAGAAGATCTCGACTGAACCGGTAGCCCATCGTAGAACCTGGTGAAGCCTGTCTGTCAAATTAATTGGTGCAGTTCCACGGAAAGCATCCCTTTTTGTTACACAATAGATAGACTTCCAACCCCGGTTGTGCATCCTATATCCTGTCACAACATCTTCAGTCACGGACCCGTAAATCCATCCAACCCGATTGCCCCACTCAGTTTTATCTTCATACCAACATGAGATGACACTGATTGCCTCAGCAACAGTGGATGCATCAAGAAGTTCCCTAGAAATTGTAAGAGCGCCAGGAGGTCGTCCGTTCTTTACAGCCGGGTGATCTGCAAGTGGTCTGCCTTGGAATTCTGCCACTGGGATAGAATCAATAAGGAAATTGGAGTTTCCAAACCTTTTTGAGAAGAGAGAAGGATTCATTATATCGTCATCAAAATCTCCCATTCGAAGTGCTCTGTGCTCCTCGGGTGCAGAAGAAACAGATGCACTTTTCTTACGACGAGCAAAGCAACAGCTGCAGCAACCCGAATGTTCTTTTGATCGGGGTGGGTCAAAGCCATAAAGCGCTGTCCGGCGAAAGAGGCATCCCGTGCCCACATAAACAGGACCCTGAAGGCCATCCAGAGCACGCATATTGACATCAAAGAAAACTGTATTATGATTAGCATAGCGATCAGATGGATCTATTCCCTCAAACCTTTGAGGAAACTGGACATAACAAATACGGTCTCCACCACGGTCCATCATAAAACATAAGCCTTCTCTTATTGCCTGCGAGTTGTAGATGTAGTGATCGCAGTCGAGATTAAGTATAAAGGGACCATTAGACATAATGGCTGACGCTCGAACCAATGCATTCATGGCCCCAGCTTTCTTATTGTGATCATACCCAGGGCGCTTTTCGCGAGAAACATACACAAGCATGGGAAGCCGAATGTCAACTTCAGTAAAATCAAGTGGACTATTGTCCACAGTAACTCCATGTAGAGGTTCATCACTTGGAGGTTTCAACATTACCTGCAATCAGAAAAAGAGCTAATTTAAACTCAGCACAAGGAAATCAAATAGTATGTCATATATTTTGTACTGTTGAAGCAAGCAACGACAGAGATAAAGCGCTTTTAAATGGTAAAATGTGCCATAACAAAATCAAGGATACATGGATTAAATTACTGTTTCTTTCAGAAGGAAAAAAATAAATAAATACCTGTATGATTCCAGCATGGTCACCCTTTGAATGTTCAGGAGAAGGAATCATCCAAGTTCCTGGCCAGTAGGTCCCATCTGCCATCCATGTTGCTTTAGAGACCTTCACAGGTTCAACTGGTTCATCCCCAGCAGTCTGTCTCTGAAGTTTCATGGCCTTGATTTCTTCTCGAGCATTATAGGCATCAGAACGACGACGAATTGAATCGGGAAGGCTATTGATTCGAACCTTGAATTCGTCATACTCACGCTTAACCCTTCTACGATCCTTGACAAAATCCTGGCGCACCTTATTCTTAAAGGGGTCTTTTTTCAGGCAAAAGTAAGACTCTGGGTTTCTTGGTTCAATATCATGCTTTCGACAGAATGGTGCCCACAAATTAGCAAAACTTGCAGCTTCTGCCATAGCCTCAAATGTCAGGAGGGCACCTCCATCATCAGAAACATAGCAAGAAAGCTTTTCAACAGGGTAATCTGCAGCAAGAATAGAAAGAATAGTGTTTGCAGTAACAAGAGGAGGTTCTTTTTCAGGATCAGCAGTAGAAACAAATATATCTACCCCCGGAAGGTCAGATTTTCCAGTTGGATTGGCAGGACTAGGCGTCTCAAATTTTTCTTTCAACACGTTAAGGTCAGTAGCACGATTAACAGGGCAGAACTTTGGAAGCTGATCAAGTAGCCAAGAGAATGCAAACCAGGTCTCACAGATAACAGACATCAACCATAGCCATCTTGCATCCTCATTGGGGTGGCTGATTCTCCATTCCAGAAATAGTCCAAGGACAGCCATACGAACAAATATCAAGAGTCTGAGAGAGGCAGATTCACCAAAATAATGTTTATCAGCCTTTTGTACCTCTTTTAATTCAAACAACATAAAAATAAGGGTTTAATGTACTATTTCTCACCATGATGTTAAACCTAATTAACAAGAATATGAGCTTAAACAAGATGTTCATAGATCAGAAGTTCTTATCATATAACTATGATTCAATGATCTCAACAAATTGCTGAGAAACGATATACAAGAATTTGAACTAATCAAAATTTCAGTTTAGACAACCAAAACTATTATACCACCCCAGACCAAAGCACACTAACATCAAAATAGTCAAAGTGCCCGCCAATATTAGGACACCAAGAATGGAAATTAACATTTCAATTAAGACAAATACACTTATCAAAAATGTATTTACCAGGTACAAAGGCTCCTTAACGAGACAGGAAAAAGCAAAATTAGTAACAGATTAGACCAAGCAGAGCATCAATAGACATTCGCATACCGTGTATAAAGTAAAAACACCTATAATTGTTATGTTCGGAGCGTGAAGAATTATGGGCTCATATAATTCATAGAAGCTTTGTAAATTAATTTTTTTTTTGTTCTGCACGGAAAGATGATAATGGATTTTATTAGATCCATTAACCTCCTTACTTCTTGCCATTATATTCCTTAACCTAACTACCACTCAATAGTATTCATTCTGGACAAATTCAAAATGTAACTACATTTGCCCAACATAATTTTTGGGATTTAACTCAAACAAAAGAGAAGAAACAAACCAAAGAAACAGTATAGAGAACGATAATGGAAAATGACCTTACCTATATGGGCTGAGTATTGCAGCTGGTATCTTCAATTTGCGGGTGAGCGGCCTCCATGGCTTGTTGAGTTCAGGAGGCTCACTCGCTTCATCGTTTTTATCATTCTCCAATCCTCCATCCTTTGGCCATATCGCATTGCCATACCCATAAGTTCCCTTAGTCTCGAATAACCATCGGTTGTGATCAAAATCAACCCCTGTTTGGCTCCTCATCAGCCCTGAATGGCTTCTTATTATTGCGGACCTGTTGGCAGATTTCATCAATGACAACCTCCTTTCCATCTTTGACATCCCAACATTTGATGGCAGAGGCAAAGGCTGACTAGACTCCGCGGAGTTTGCAGCCAAATCTGTACTCTTATAAGGCTCTTTACAGCCAGGACAGATCCCATCACCAGTTTTTACAGCATCAACGAAGCAATCTCTGCATATCTTGAAATCACATTCACAAGGGAGGATATCTTCACCCCTCCCATCACTCATAACCTTTCCATCACAACCTGGGACTGCACATGATGACCCTTTTTTCCCAGCCATCTGAGGATGATTAGTCTCAGACTCGATCACCTTGTCCATCAAGTGGGCACGAGTGACGCTGTTATATCCACCAGTAAACAAAGAACTAGATACATACTGCTCCTCCACCCTCTGCGACATTGAAGGATCCATATCCATAGGCTGATTATCAGGTGTTGGCGGTATTTGAACCGTGTAGTTTGCGAATTCAACACCAGTGATCTCACTGTCAAGACTATCCCTTGATAAATTGACATACCGCCCCTCTGTTGTCCGCCTTGCAAAGGTCACATTAGGAGGTACAGAAGCCCTCCCAATTTGCGAGTCTGAAGCTTTGAAGGATCTTCCTGCCATTCTGCCAATATTTGCACCTAAAAGTCACCTATTCGTCACCGGAAGCTGAAATTTAACACAGATTAATCAACTCAAATCAGGATTTCATTAGCTAAGATTCAGAAATAGAAGCACAAAAAGCATATTTGACATGAATTCAAATATAAAATCTCGAGGTCTCTTCCTCACTATAATATTTTTCTCTCCAAAAACTGCTAATATGTTTTAACATCTACAAAACCTTTATTTCTTTTAACATCTACTAAATCTTTATTCTTAAACTGCAAAGACTAAAACACAATATTTCCGTAAAGTCATCCGCTTCCTCTGTTTTTATCTAAAATAAATAAAAAGATGCTTTAAAGGCCAAAGTTCCAATATTTTTCCCACCGATACACATGAAAGATCAGTTTAAAATAACATAAAAGCACAGCAAGAAGCACCTAATGAAGATCAAGACTACGATGAACCGTTTCTCTCTAAAAATCTCAACCTTTCCAAGAACCCAACAGAGCCAGAAAGCTACGAAGATGTGCAGATAAAACCGACGTCCAACAGACCACAAAACAAGTGAATGAACATATCACAAATGAATAAGAGCGTACACTCACCTCATCGCTACTACTACAAAGACCACGTCTTAAAATGACGCGTAAAATACATATAAAAACAAAGAAACGGCCTCCCCAAGAAGAATAAAGAAACATTCAGACATACATAGTCAAATATTATTACAAAACTATTATACTATTACACACAAATACGCAAATATTACAAATTACAGCTGTGATAACAGTGCTTCCAAGGTCTACATAGTTTTTTAAATACGACCCAGTCCTCAAATTTTCGAAGTTGTTTGCATAATTCTCAACGATTCATAACAGAAACCAAAGACTTGGTAGTATAGAATTAGTAATAATTTCCCAATTTCTCCTTTTAATTATTCAAAATGCAGTAAAGAAGACTAATACTTAATCCGCTCAAATCATTATTTATACACAAGTATTATCTCTAGGCATTAAAGTATTGGGAAGAAAAGAAAAGGAGATCTGAGCATCTACAACGGATATACCTTATTCAATAACACTAATAAAGAGAATTTTTTCAGAGAAATTGATCTGGACAGTTTGAGTAAAGACTAGAAAGCAAATAGATTTGTTTAGCATTAACAATGTAGAAGCTGCTGGCTGCTTTAGTATTTTACATTTGTGTGTAGAACATTTTTTGCTTGCTTTGATGAAAAGAAGAATAAAGAGAAGACAGAATGGCCGAATATTGCGGGGTGGCGATGTGAACGGGAATTTAGGGCTTCGGTGTAGGGACGCTTTCGACGCGTTTGAGGAAGTTGGATCCTATGCCTGTTCAGAGACAAGTGACAACTGTATAATATTTCAATCTTGAGGTTAAAATTTTTGTTTTTTTAGTATTGGACAAGTTGTGTCGTTTTTCCTAAAAACTTCATTGTTTAAATCAAGTTGGTCGAGTTAGTTAGTAAAATTATCCCAACTTAATTTAAATATTGATTTGAATTTACCTCAATTAACTTGATCATTAGTTAAAGCTGGTCGAGTTTAACGTGCCATTATATTAGCTCCCGTTTGGTCCTCCTTATTTGAAATTTTAATTATTGAAATAATTTTATTTTTTTTTTCAAAATGTGTTGTTTTAAGGAAATAAAGAGTTTTGAAATTACGTGTAATATTATATTATTGAAGGATATATGATTGATAATAATAGAGTAAAATAAATTTTAATTTTAATTACGGCCAAACGGGATTAAAAATTGCAAAAGAAGAGGCTTTTTTAAATTTTAATTTAATATAGTTAAATTGGACTTGCTCATATTCGGCCGTTGCAATGGCCCCAGTTAGGCCGCCTACTATAATTGTAAATAGATTTCATCAATGCCTAGAATCTGGAGGGACATATATTTTATGTCAACATTAACCTCGAAACCAAGCTAGAATAAATGAAAATGAATAATGTTACTTGTATATTTTTTTGGATCGAGCTGCTCTGTCAAACCGCAAATGTGAGATGGGGGGTTAACATTTGGGGGGAGGGTTTTTAATGAAGTGGGTCCCGAATGTGAGCTCTACCAGGCCTTTTACAGGCCTGATAGAGCAGCATTATTCTATATTTTCTTGCCACTTGATTTCCTTCTACGTGGAGAAAATTTATGCGTGGAAGAGTGAAAAGAAAAGTATAAAGGAGAGTGTACACGTAGCGTGATTGAATGAAAATATGTCAAACTGTCAGTATTTAGATATTTACAAAATTTATAGATGTATATGATAGAATAATGTTATTCGTTATTATTGTTTACACACGAGTAGTGATTTAATATTTAGATTGTTTTAATTGATTTATTATTTTAAATGTAAAATTTAATATGACAGATCAATGAATACTAACATCATTGATGATATGTAAATACATCTTTTAAATAGCAATACGTACATGTGTAGAGGGCTCTAGTTTTCAATTTTTATTTTATTTTATTTTTTCAAATGAAAAATTATGTCAGTAATGAATAACAATAAAAAATAATTAAGATTACAATGGTTTTTTAATTAATAATATTTAAAATGAAAAGATTTTAACGAATTTAATTTATCAAAGAAAATGTCTTCAATAAATAATAATTAAAAATTAGTTTTGAGTTTGTCCATCTTTTTCCTTAAAAATATTTCACAAAGGAAAGAATTATAGTACAAATGTACGCTAAGAAATAATAATAGTAAGTAGATGTAATATAGTTGCAAAAGAAGTTATGCTAAGAACAAAATAAAAGTTAAAAAAACAACTTATATGTTTGTAATATTATATAAAAAGACTAAAAAGATATTTTAACTTATAAGTCGCATCTGATAAAAAAAATAAAAATGTAGAAAGAATAATTTTGTTATTGAAATCAAAATCTTTGTCGATAACTAAAGCACCATTTGTGATTTCGACAACATCATCGATAACATTGTCATCGGTAATCGCTAGAAATAATGTGTCGGTGATCATCAAATATATCACTACAATTGATCGCTTTGTGTGATGTTAACGAGGTGGAAAATTAAGCCATGAACAATTCGTAATGATATTAAGAACTCCAGCTTTACTTGAGGTTACCGCGTCAAGGGTTCGAATCCTGAAATATAAATTTGGTCATTGGGTAAGTGTAAGTGTACAAGCAATCTTCCAGCCTATACCCTCGAATGCATAACCTGCGATTTACCTCCTTAACCGGGACTCGAGATAGGGCAGGTGGGAGCCGTAAAAAATGCGGCTCATCCTTTAAGAATGCAATATTTCAATTTCATTTGACAACCCATAATAACCTAAAAAAAGTTGCCCAAAATTGAGGTTCACGTGACCCCATGCCACCACTTGTGTCCGTCAGTGAGAATCAGATAATACCATCCACAATAGCAATGAGGCATGGGGAGGTGTCGACTACCTCACAACATTTTGAATTTCATTTTTAAATTTATGAGAAGTTTTGATATCAAGAAATACTTTAGAATCAGAGTTGATAACATTGTTTATAACACATACTAATGCTGAATGACTAAGAGATTTATTATTAGATGTATCAGTAGGAGTTATCTCAATACATTATGAATGTAAAGTTGTAATAAAGCTTGTAAGTAAATTTCACTCAAATGAAAAGATGAATAAACATGATTCAAACGTGACATAAGTCAGCTAAGACTTTGCTTAAAATAAATATGATTGTTCTAAATTTTGTGAGATCTAAAAAGAATTTAATAGGGAATCTAACCAAAGCCTTGCCCAACAAGGGTGTTAAGGAATCATATAGAGGGATGGACTTAAGCTAACAAGGAAGTTACCCTCGAGAGTAATCCAACCTTTATGATTGGAGACTCATAAAATAAAATTTAACGTTGCAGAAATAACGTGCACTGCATAATCATAAGAACAAAATTTAACATTACGGAAATAACATGCACTGCATAACTCTTAATAGTACTATATTATTTGTGATCATTCTTACGGTGATAATGGTAATTGTTATGATGTAAGGAAGGATTTAATCAAGAATGAGTACTAAGGCGAAAATTATCGCAATGGCATATATCTTAGGAGGACTCATCTATCTAAATTCTGTAGAGTACAAAGGTCAGAATTTCCACGAGGTATGGATGATGCATACTTTTGGAGGATTCACCTATTTAAAAGTTGCCATGAGGTTGTGATGTGCATAGTTATCATACTTGACCCAGTCGTTGACTCGACCCGGACAAGTCATCGAGTCAGTGGTTCAACCGGTGGGTTATTGCAATGTCAAATTTTAGTTCTTTTTTTAAAAAAAAAAACAAACAAACAAACAAACAAAGATTAAAACAGGAGATGTCTACCTCTATTACATTTAATACTAAGATTTTAATATTTGTCATGGTGGTCAAATTTTTTATAATCCTTAAAAGGAACACATGTTTGAATCCTTCCCTTTGCAAATTTAATATAAAATTTTGCTTTGAACGAATATAGTAACTAACTGGTTTGGTTTGAATTAAATTCGGTTTTCTTCAAACCCATCCGGTTCAGACGGTTATTGATTGGTTCAAGCGGTTTTTGACCAATTTAATTGCTAATGGACCCAATGATGCTAACCGGATCGGACCAATGTCCATTTGCCGGTTCTCGGGTCGGACCGACCAGCTCTGTCCTATTTTCATAACCATGGTGATGTGGGATTCAACTATTCCCTAGATAATCGACTAGAATCAAAATAGATCGCATGATTATTAACAATACTATCCCGCTATAAATTGAGTCTAAATTGATATTGTATGAGCAATTGAAGTTTGACCTAAACTAAAGCACATAATTTAAGGCTTATTCCATTATCAACGTGGGGATTGACATGGTCATCTTGTATTTTGAGACATAACTTGAAAGCGTTCTCTTTATATTCTATTCTATATTTGATTATTTTTTAATATTTTAGCAACTTGATAAAGACTTATTCTTGATTTCTCTGTGATCATGTCTATAGAAGAAAAATCAATTAAGATTTATAAGGGTTTTACCTTAAAAATGTGCAAGGTTGACAATACATGAATGAAAGTGGTTGGAACAGCTCGCAAAATTCAACCACTTCACCTACTTCATTGCCCCCAACCCTTTCTCATACCTCTATTGAAATAGAATGGTTTCGTGTTCTTTCATCGATTGGTTATTCCTCTCCGTTTGTATCTTTTTTTCCGAGTGGATACACAAACAATAGGGCTATCCTGAATACAGTGGAAGAGAGAACTAAGTACTTAAATAATAATAGCCTCCAAAGTATATTGATCAAATAAATTAAGATCCCGCTTCCTACCCCATACCATAGAAAATGGGTTTTCCTACTCTGAATATATAAGTAAGTTCACACACCCTGGACAAATCCATCCTGTATCACTTACTTGTCAGCTTGATCCCTTATCTTATTTACTGTTTTCCTTAACGGGTGGTTTATGTTTGGTCCTTTCGGGTCGCTTGACCTGGGCTAGGACATTGATTATCGTGACAACTCTCCAAGTCTAGCCCTTTCTAATTCTATTCTTTATTATGTTGTTTTAACTATAACATGATTGTATTATCTAATAATTATTTTATTAAACGAATAACTTATTTTCCAAAATACTTACGCGCTCATGTACGTGGCGAGCGAACTTAGATCCCCCAAATGAACGTGGTTCTCCTGTTTAAAGTGAAAGTACGTGAATAACATAATGATTAATTCAATTTCAAAGGCCACTGACCGAGCTCAACATTGACTTATTCAGAATTTGGATTTGTCTGATTGATGGATTTGGTCGATGGTAGCTGATTGTGGAACACATCAAATTGCATGATATGGCACTTGTAAGTTGTTCAATTTCAAAGGCCATTGATGTCAGCCTTCGACAAAGGATGCGCCCCCCATCTGCACCGTCACGGCACCGCACTTACGTGGAAGTGGTTTTCTTTAACATTAGACAATTCAAAGTGAATTATTTATTTTCGTCTCATACCGTTTAATACCAAATACCAGTAAAAAGTAATAAATTTAAAAAATGCTCTCTACATTATGTATAAAATGCTCTTTATAAATAAAAATGCTCTTAGAGCTTGTTTGGAAAGGATTAAAATCGAATTAAAATTGAAAAATTAACCGTTATTGTTGACTTTTATTAGACAGGTGGGACCCAATAACGGCTATATTTTCAATTTTAATTGGATTAAAATCATTTCCAAACAAGCCCTTAACATCACGCCGATTGAAAGTTTTTCTAATAAAATGCTACCAAAAATGCAATTCATAAAATGTAATGAACATGCTCTCGGAATATGTACAAGTAGGAAAGTGAGATGTCACATCGAGGCCAAATTTACGGTAACAAGGCAGATTGCACGCCACAAACGGCGGAGGAAATGGAATTTTGTCACACGCGTTGATTATCATACTTAAAAATAGTTGGGACATCATATTCATATACATGCAATGTTGAATAATTCTTGCTTTTGGCCCCACTTCATCATGTGTGCTCTTCCCAATTTCACTTTTCCACACTTGTTCATAATTACAATTTTCAGGCCAACCAAACGTTCGATTACTTCTTTTTGTGCCACAAAGTTGCACCTTTATTACTATTCAACAAAATGCTTATGGCTTTTGCTTCTTTTTTCCCTTCAATGGCTACATATGATTGTTTCAAATCTTAGATATGTCATTCTTTGCTTGGGCTAATGATTTCTGTAAAAATACTATGTATCATAATTCATAATCCTAAAACTATGAATAAAAAGAAGAGAATAATGTTGGTGTTAATCTTTAAGGAATCAAGCCCAAATTATTAAATGAGCTTTTTACTATCCAAATTGTGCACTACTAAGAGCATTTTCATGAGTTTTTTTTTTAAAAGTATCTTTAAATTTAAAGAGTAGAATTTTTGACACACTCAAACGGACTCTGTATTTTACATTTTTTTAAAGAAAGATTTATTTGTTTTCCTCATTTTTAATTAATATTTAAATTTTTTAAGATGTTGATGACCGATAACATCAAGTATGATTTGAATAATACAAGTGGAGCATTGGAAATTTGAATATTTTTTAATTTAATGACTATAAATTAAAAAATTTGATTCTCCAAATTTGAAGAATCTATTAGAGCTTAATTTTAAAGATTAATTCTCTAAGGAGAGCATCTCACATAGGGTAAATTCATTTGTACAGAAAATGCGTAAACGTTGGTATACACACATAATTATGTGGCAAAAAAATGAGCTGGTGGATTAATTGTGTTTGTTATGAAAAATGGCGTGGGATATTGCCAAGTGTAAATTCGATAAATGGAAATATACATGTACCATGATTGTCTTACATAACAACGTCTCTTGGAGATGCTCCAATTTGAAAGAAAAATTTAAATATTACACAAAGCGGAAATCAAAACTTTTTCACTTTCTTAGAGAAAATATAATTGAAATGCTACTTTTAATTTCGTTATTGTTGTAGAGGGGCCGATTGATCTAGGTTTTTTAGCGCCGTACAAATCAAACGACATTCCAAAGCGCATAGAGATTTGGACACACGTCTAGTTCTCATCGGAAAGAAATCGAATGAATATTTCTTTTATTTCCTGTCTGACATTGTTGACACGACTAGAAATCTTGTAGTTGTTGGAAAAATATCAAGATTAATTTCTTGTCCAAGAACTACTAAGCCCACTAATACAGTTCATGGACCTTATAACTATCAGCCGGTTCCCTAATGACCAGGCCTTTTTTCCTTCTTTCCAAGCCCAAGCAAGCAAATGCAAACTAACTAATTGAAATTAGAATGTCATTATTATAAACTAAACATTGATTACAAAATTACCAAATCCATCGAAGTACAACATCCACTCGTTGATCTTCTTCTCAAGGGATGACAAAATTTTCCATCAACAAGATTGCCTCACCCTGAACGGCCCCGAATCATGCCTAGTGTATTTCACAGGTCTCTTATAGGGCACTCACCCATGTAAGGCTCCCGCATAATTTTTTTTTAATACATTGTGGAGCCCACCATACGAGTGACCTGATGAGCCCATGTAAATTAATCCCCTATAGTGAGAGGATTAATTCAACGGCCTCACCCCGAATTCCTCGAACCCCATGCCAACTTTTTATGTTTTTTTTATACTTTCCAATATATGTAGTGGTATCAATGGCTTGGCCCATTGACCCACGAGCCGAGCTAGTTACAAATACCCATGCTCGTGGCTCGGGTAATTTTTTTTTTTTTTTAATCTTAATAAGATAAAAATTTAAAAAAATATATGAATTTTTGGACGAGCCCACGAGCCGGCTCATGGGCTTGGCTCGTGGGCGGGCGTATTTTTAAAAAAATATAAACACAGAAAATCATGACTGTAAATTGAAATATGCAATCTATTAAAAATGAAGGGCCCGCCCATCTCATGCTAAAAGTGCCCAAGGGCACTTTATGGGTTTTAAATTCCTAGAAATACTCCGAGTCTCAGACTACTGCACAGTTCCAAGGCCTATTAACAAGTTTGAGCAATCTGTACAAAGAAACTAGCCTTTCCACTCCTTAAATACGAATAACTAAGTATACCCACCACTAAATATCACCAGCACGAACATTTCGCCGAGCACAAGCACGAGCACAAGTTGCACCGACACGAACATCTCATGCAGCTAGGTTTGAAACATGAGAGGCAATTCGGACGACATTGTGGGCATTTTGGACATTTGGGCCACTGGCAGCACCTTTTGCAACTCGGATAGTAACATTCTGTGCATTTGGGTCGTTTGAGTTTAATCCTACAACACTTGCTGGAAGAACACTTTGACCTTTTCTGCAGACGGAGAGCCTCGCGGATCTTCCTGAGTCGAGTTTCAGTAGTCATATTCTCCATTTCTTGGACAAACTTGCAAAGATGGCGGATGTAATCCGGGTAAAGCTCCAAATTGCAGTGCCCACCTCCCTTAATCCACAAGGGCTCATACGGTTCCCTAGCTAACTTCCATAACCCATTACCATGTAAACAATTCACCACGTCATCATCCGTCCCCTGTATAAAACACGCCAATGCTCAGTTAAATTTTAAACAATGCACCATTTAAATTTTTTCAATAGACATCCACCGAGTTGCTGTCAACAATCAATTTTACCATACATTTCATGGAACCCACAACTTCAATCAACTTTTCAACTTGACATTTTATTAGCTTTTATCAAAATCTGCTAAAATTCCAAACAAGGGCTTAATTGTTTTATTTCAAGAAGTTCAAAATGAAGCAACATGTCTGGCATTTCAAGACCACTTCTAAATGTATACTTTAGCAAACTTCTGATATTTTCACGGGGAAGGAAGAGAGGAAAGTAGCTAAAAATGAAAGGTCACATCAAATAGAGAGCATCTCACATCAGACAAAGTCTATTGACTCAAATTTTAAAATTTTTGAGCCACTACGTACATGTATACAGACTAACAAAATCACATTTATTCGGTTCCTTAAGGGTTATACAGAGGGAGGGAGGGAGGGATGCATAGATTTAGAACATAAATGCATTTCTTTCAAAATGTTTTTGCTAACAATAAAAATGCAACTAAAATAGTGTGCAAGAGAAAGTAGCATGTAGTGCAATGATGAAGGAAGATAAAATTACCATTAGTAACATATGAGAGTTTTCTACAGGAGATTAATGACAGGTTAAAAAAAAAAAAAATCTTGTTGAAATAGATCTCTATGTATGGCCACATGATTGTTGAGAAAGTAGAATAACATCCGGAAAAGTGAGTTATTTTTTTTCATGATCACCTTTCTGAAGTATGAACATTCAAGACACAAGATAGATAGAACTAGGTGACAAGCACATTTCAGTTCATATCGAAGAAAAATAATATTTCAAGGAAACCCGTTTCAGGATATCTGAAACTAAATTTCTGACTTCCTCTTTGCACCTTATCATCACAAAGTCTCTTGCTATTAGCTTGACTTGAAATCGTTCACGAGGTTAAGTTGTAGATTTTCAGCTCAGCCTTGTTCATCTTATTATCTCTTACTGGAAATTATACAGTAGAGTAACTTGAACAGGAACAAGGAGAAGAATAACTCTTCCTTCAAACGTACAGAGAAAAAGCTTCTATTCATAGGGGTTTAAATAACCAAAATAGTAAAGTTTAAAATACTTACCATTATCTTCCCTATGAATACATGTCTTAATATTGTCCGTGAATACCTTTCATCATTTGTCTAATAAAGACTTACCATAGTTTGTCATATACAAAGAAAATGAAACTAGATTAAATCTCCTAACAAGGAATGAAATGAAATGAAAAACCTAGCTCATTTAGTATTTGACTGAAAAAAGAAAGTCAAATATTCTACTCTCTTGAGCTAGTGCGGGGAAAAATATTTCTCATTCCCAACTTATCTAGCAGCCAAATAAAGTTAAATCTTCAACACTCTCCTTCGAGCACAAGATGCAGATGTACAAACCAAATTGAGTTTGAAAACTTAATTGGTCCTCTGTTTCCTGCAATTTCGATCCACAACCTTGTCCTGGAGCACTTAGTCTAGGCTCTAGGCACAATTATTGCAACCACTAGCAAATTTTCCCCTCCAACGAACCATGATGTGGCACTCCAATAGACTTGTATGAGTTTTAGACTTCACCGCACAATACATAGCTAGCCGCCGCCCCCCCGGAAATAAAGCCATAACCAGGTCCTCGAGCAGCTTTTCACGACTCAAAGCTTATTCAAAACTTTCAATTTTAGTAATGGCGTCCCTCCTAAAACAAGCACTCCACCCAAAGATGGAGTACACTAGCTAGCAAAACCCAGACCTCTTTCAACGTTATCAAACTGATGGAAATCCGGTGAAGTGAAAACAAGACTTTATTCCAGACAATTCATCAGGTAAACAAGGGGTCCAAGAAGACAGGTATAAAGAAAACAACTCATATTTGACTAAATGGTGCACAGGTCAGTGCTTGAAGTAGAACGTTAGCTAGTCGTCTCTCCTAAAAGATATACATTAACATATCATCAACCTTTAGAAGTCAAAAATAAATAAATAATAAAAATATGCCACTTACTTGGCTCCCCCGGGAATCTAAAAAAATGCGTTACTTCATAAAGAAGACCGAATGAATAAAGAGAAATGAGAAAATCTCAAAGTTTTATTCAATAATCACCAAAAAAAAAAATCAAAACCCTAGCAAGTGTTTGTAAATAAGAAAGCCCTTTGATGAAAAAAAGACTAAAGACCCCCTAATTGAACACAATATATAAATGAATATTTAAAAATAATAAATGATGGGTTTTGATACCCAATAAATTTCAGCGCAATGATGTTTTAATGTTTAAGTTATATTTATAGGATTCGGCAGAGGATTAAATTAACACAAGATTAGACCAAAATTAAAAGCTCGACCCAAAACTTAATGGGCCATTTGAAGTGATAATTCATTAAATTAGTTGCTTGTGGTCCACTACAAGTTAGGGCCCATTTTCAAAGAGTTTTTGCCCATTTGTGTGGTTGCCCTAACTTTTTATGTTTATATATATTATCTTTTCATTTTATAAGGCAAGTAAGTGTGGCGAAAAAAAAAAAAAGGCAGCAACCGCTTTTCTTTCTCCTCTTTGTGAGCAGCCACCTTCAATCTCTTTGTGGGTTTGAGAGGTTCTTTAGTGAGCAACGCATCTAGGGCATTCAGTGGTGTTTAGGGTTTGAGCTTGTCAATTGCAGTAACCTTGTGGTGGGGGTTTAAAATGATCCATAAATCTTTTTGGTCACTAAGGTGTTTATTTTGCACATTGTGGAGCTCTTGGTGGTGCAAATTACTCAACAATTGGTATCAGAGCAAGGCATTGGTATTCTTGGAGTGGGAAAACCATCATGCGTTTAGTGGGGTTTAAGGTTTGAGATTGTCAATTGGAGTAACCTTGTGGTGTGGGTTTAAATTGAGCCCTAAATCTTTGTGGTCATAAGGCATTGTATTTTGCACATTGTGGAGCTCTTGGTTACTCAACAATTGGTATCAGAGCAAGATAGTAGAATTCTTGACGTGGGAAAATCGTCCAAAAGTAGTAGATGAGTTGTTCAAAAAATAGCCTTCTCAAACCAACAAAGAGAATGAATGTTATTGCTCAAGAAGGGAAAGAAAAATACTTCTCTTTCTTTCTTGCCACACTTGCCTTACAAAATGAAAATGCAACACATATAAACATTAAATATTGGAAAAATTCTAGTTGTACAGCCTTTTTGTACAACCAATTACACAGCCCACTCACATGGGTGGGGCCCACATTTTTGTGGGTCCCACCCCATGTGTGTGTGCTGTGTAAATTGCTGTACAAAAAGGTTGTACACATAGCAAAGTTCTTTAATTTTGTGTGTGGCGTCTGTCTGTAAAAACTCATTCTGACCAATGATCAATTGACACGTTACAAAGTGAAGGGTAAAGAGTAATTTGAAATGACAAACTCCTACGCAGGCAATTATGATTGTTTCATATCCGCCGTGGCATGGAAATTTGACGGCGGCGCAACCTGTAAAGTTGCTTGTTAAAAATCCCAGAAGTATTGAGAATTTATTCAATCAGTCAAATAAATTTTAAAGTGAAAATTGCAGGGATCTCGACCCTTATTAAAAAGCGTTGTGGGTTTTATTTCTGGCATCAAAATTAAATTTGTATTTAATGCAAAATGGAAGTATGAAATGTGTGTGGGCTGTGTAAATTGCTGTACAAAAAGGCTGTACACATAGCAAAGTTCTAAATATTGAGCACACAACATATGAGACAAACAAATGTGTAAATGGGTTAAGCCATTTAATGGGCCATCACTTAGTCCTTGTTTGTCTACCATTATTTCAAAAAATTATTTGCTAGAGTAAGATTCTCCATCACACATTTACCTAATAAAATATTCTACACACAAACCAATAAAGTCACTTTAAATTCAATCACACATTCTCTAAAAAATACTATTCATTACTCTATTTTTCTCCCAATAATGGGGGACAAACACACCCTTAGTGAATGGGCCATGAGCAACCATTCATTGAAATGTTGTTTTGAATGGCCCATGGGTAGAATTATTAATTTAGGTCTCGTCTTGTGGTTTTAATTTCCTATTTCAATCATCGGCCTAAGCCTATGAAAATAACCTTTAAACATCATTGGCTGTTTGAGGTTGTTTGCCAACAATACACAGCATAAACTTAATAATTAAAAAAATCTATTAAACCCAGACATCCCTGCTACCTTAATTGCATTACCTTAAGAATGCCTAAATTTTTCAATGGAAAAAACAAAAACTACCTCGAAATGTTAGAACATTAAGATGTAGTTTAATTATATCTGGCTCGTGCACGTCAACAAAAAAATTGATTTTCTAGAGACATATTGTTTAAGATAACAAACGGAGAAAAAAGTATATAGAGGGATGAATAGTCCGTTTATACTTTATCAGCTGTCAGTTTTGGTTGGGCAATTTTCTAATTCAAATGCTCAGCAGCAAAATTTGCTAGCTGGAAAATAAGAGAGAAAAATGAAGCATAAAATAGCTGACACTGCAAAGAGAAAACTAGGAGCACTAGTGCTGTTCATGAAAAATGATCAAAGACATGGGAGGGCTAGTAAATGCAGTCTTATACTTAAGCCGGATAGTGCTTGGATTTCAGATAGATTGCAACTCAAAGATGAGCCATCTTTTGATAAATGAGAAAAAAGATAATGCGGCTGGTAGATTCACTCTCTAGATTCATTTACGACACTTTCCTAATTCATGCATTTGTTGGTCCCTACAGATCTGTGCACTACATTTCTTTACTATGTGGTGTTATTTATAGTACAAAAGAGATATAAACTTTATCAGACAATAAAATATAACTCTAATAATAGGCATGCCAAGTAAATTCAGGCTTTAAAAAAATAACTATATACTTCTCTAAAACCTGGACAATCTTTCAGATATCAGTTACACAAGGTGCTCTATCTAACTAACAGCATAATGTAATCTTATGTGAATTCGAAAGGAAAAGGAAAATCCCTCTGTAGTTATTGTGCAGTCTACTAGAATGCAAACAAAGGACAGATTTAAGCAGTCATTACAATGCCAATTAAAGAAGAAATATAGGAAAAGAAAAAGTTCATTGAAATTGTTGGCAAACTTTCTTGTCCTACCAGATCATTTCTTAAAAATCTTCTAAACGTGCATTTAGAGGACTACTAAAATCTTCTCAAACAACATAGATACGGTAGGATGACGATAAACTAGTGATCGATTAATAACCAAAAAGAAAATCTTGATATAAATGAGATGCTATTCATTCATTTGAAAGGAAAAAAGACTAGCATGCTTTCAGTTCTTCATTGAGAAAGTCAAAATGCAAACATACATAACGTATCCTAAGTTTCTCACACAAAGATGAATACAAGAGAATCGTAGGTTATTTTAAATTCCAAGTGTCTAGGAGCATCCATTACGTATACCAAGTTTCTATACAACAAGGAAATACAAAAGAATCTTAGGAAAAAATTTATTCAAATGTCCAGAGCTGCCAGGAGAACTTACATGTATTACAAGCACAGGAGATTTCACCTTCCGAATGTTATTTACATTCTGCACATTGACACTGGATAGTTATTAGCTTCAAGTGATAGTAATCAAGCTTCAGGTGATAGCAATCGAGCATATTAAATTAAATTTAAAGGTCAATTTTAATTAATTTCAATCTCAAATTTTCTGAAAATGATTTTAGCATGATATACGTACAGAAACATAATGCAGACCGCTTGTTTTTCAAATGCTAATTCAAAAAAAAAAAAAAAAACCTCTTTTCTAAATTTTCAGGACATCCCGCGCGAACATTGCCAAATTCTTCATTGAAATTTGATTTGCACAATTACAATAGCTTCAGTTTCTAGCTATGTCAATTTCTTTTCTAGCCAACATCTGTAACTATGAAGTTTGTTATCAAGCACTCAACGTCTACATAGGAATCATATATCATCTGGAGCAATGATGTGCTGGGAGAGATTGTTGCTAGAAACTTCTTTAATTTCATTATTTATATAGCATTATTTGTTTCTAGTATAGAGCAAAAGATACTAGATTTGATCTCCTTTGTTTGGTCATTGTTTGTCTAAAGGTCAGTAAACTCGTCTGTTACTTTGATTTCTTGGTCAGTGAGCTTGTCAATGATATTTCTGAAGATATTGTATCACATTGCTTTGGAGCACAATATGATCCAAGAACTCCTATTTCTCAACTTCCAAGACAGGTAAACTAAGAGCATGATTAATTTTACTAGTATGTTTGAAAATAGACAAGTTTGTATACCACAAAGGCCAGACTAAGGTGTTAAATACAATTTGTAATCCCTTTTAAGGGCATGCACATGATCAGACACCCTTTAGGCACAAAAACCACTATTAGTCACTGGTCTTCTACTAGTTATTTATGCACGATCTTTCTTTGGAACCAATAGCAATTTTTTTCTCATCAAGGTGATATAATGAGAACTGATAATGACCAAACATTTCAAAATTCAAATGGGTGAAATGAGAGCTATAAATCGTGCAAACCGATAAACAAGTATTTCACATCAAGGCTTTATTTTTGCAAAGAGTATGTTTCCAACACAGATACAGAACTTGCCCATGTATTAAGCTGGATTATGGCCACCTAATTTTCCTCCATTTTATGTTAAATTCTAGAACATTCTTAAGCAGGAAATCCCTAATTCTATATTAGGCATCAAGACAGTTCCTTTCCTATTTTAAATGGGAATGAAGATGCATACTGACCTTATAAATATCACAACAAAATGTGTACTTCACTTGACAGAGAACACGAATGCCAGAAAGAATGGCACTGTGCAGAACTACACCTCTCAACCTTGGCAATTGAGCTGCTAAGTGCAATGTTGGGCCACTTCCAACAGACTGTCCATATAGAATTAAATCTTCTTGGCTAATTCCATATTCCGTCTGAAGACACTCATACACTGCCTCTATGTCAGCGTATGTATCATATTCACTGGGCTGAATCGTGTCAAAAAAATATGGTTCAAAACATAAGCAGATGAATTAGTGCCAGGAACTTTCAGCACTAATGGAAGCCCAGGATAAACCAGACAAAAAAAATTAATTGCTTATTGTTAAGGAATATAATATCAAAATTCAGTTGAAGAACAAAAACAGGAATTCATTTTCTCAATCAATTAAAGTCATCCATCCAAGGATAAAAAATTTCTTGTCATCACATTATCTTCCCCAACTGAGGTTGACAACCCTTTGGAAGAATTGACCAAATTCTCACACGCTCAAGAATTTTTTGAATGTTAGACTTGTGCATTGCACTCGATTTCACAAATTTACTATAATCATATAAACCAAGCATACACAGGCTTTTCAGTGCACTTTGAATAAGAAAGAGAATCAGTGAAGACATTAACGAAATAATGCTGACCAAGTTGAAGTTTACCTTGCCAGTAGAGGCCCCATACCCAGAATAATCGTACCTGCATATTTAGGATGAAATAAGTATAAATCTAACAACTAAGTAAAGAAGTATACAGCAGAAATAATGCCTCGAGGAATTCATATGCTTTATTAAATTACACATCCAAGATGTTAACGAAAAAACAAATGCACGAGCCTGTAAGATTAAACTCTTCAGTCTTTTCACACACCAAAAGAAAAAGTCGGCAAATAAAATCCTCAGTAGTGTACATGCTCGATTACACGTGTGCAGCAGTAAATAATATCAATCTCACAACGAAAATCAAATTAATCCATGAAGTGATAAAACCCCAATTATTATTTGAGAAAAAAATTCTGAAAAAGATGCAAATGGACCACAGAAAGCTCTCCCCGATACAAGTTCCAGAGCCACTGGATCTGACTAGACAATAAAATGCACATGGAAAGTTAGATCGAATCAAGAGCAAAGTGAAAGCATAAGTTAAATTTCACCGCCTTCAAGCACAGACTACAGGATAAAAAAAACCTTGATTTGTGTCACTGACTAACCAGAAAAATTTCTTTTTAACTTTTGCTGTTCATTTTTGGGTGATTCACGATTAAAATCAACGACTTTGGGTAAAATAAAGAAACATGAAAAATTGGAAAAAGGCCGTGAAACAATAAGAAAATTATAAGGCGAATACTTGTTTTTATATTTGAAGGTAAAAATTCATTATCCATTGAACAAACTACCAGCGAGAAAAATCACTAATACATACAGCAAAATGCCAGCCTATAAAAAATTGGCAACCCCTATCTCCCCAGCCCCTTCTCCTAAGAAAATGCTACTAAAAGGACAACCTTTACCGACCAGAAAGATGTGCTTGTGTTAAAGTTTGTGATTGTGTATGCATGTGATGAAAGAAACAAGTATTCAACGAAATCTACTGTAGCCATAACAATAAAAAATTTGCCAAATCATAAACAAAAATGATGAGAAATGAAAAAAAAAAAGAAGAAGAAGAAGAAGAAGAACCCATCATTTTCAACATGTATAATCCTAGAAGAAATGAAAAGGTAGAACAAGAAATGAAACAAAAACACCCAGGTAAAGATTTGTATTTGTGCAAATAAAAAAAAGAAGAAGAAGAAGAAGAACCCATCATTTTCAACATGTATAATCCTAGAAGAAATGAAAAGGTAGAACAAGAAATGAAACAAAAACACCCAGGTAAAGATTTGTATTTGTGCAAATAACAAAGAACAGAAAAGTAGGAATTTATTTTTTTTTTCAGAAAAAATAACTGAGTTGATATTCTGTTGAAAAAAAATAAAAGAACAGACCCAATGAGGTTGACTCTAAGATTAGCTTTGAGCTGAACAAAGAGATCATAAAGCTGTCCCAGATCGGCGGCGTTTCCATGCGAGTACAAAACTGTGAGCCTCGCATATGGATTCCTCAAATAAAATGCAATAATCTTGTTTCCTCTCTTAGTATTAATCGAAAGCACGTCAAATGAAGCGTCGTCAACTGCTATTGGCATAGAAGATTGGGTTGAGACCGCCACCAGTTTTCCGTCGTCTCTTTTCTTCACCTGGTACGTCGCCGGCGCCGGAGGAAAGAAGGCAAATTTGGCGGCGAGTTGAGAAATCAGACAGCCCATTTTTATAAAAACTATGTTGTTCTTGTATGACTATGATTATATGCAGTAGAACTACAACCTTTGTACAAGATTGGTGTGTTGAAATTCTACTCATGAATGCATGTGTGTCTGTTTCGGTGGTGGAGCATTGACTAATGTGGATTTGTTGAGTGAGGCTAAATGAGGGGGGTGTTGGGAGATGGGAGAGTGAAGCGTTTGTGCGTGAGAGAGAAAGAGAGAGAGGGGTTAAGAATTGGAGTTTTTCAAGGGATGCGGACTTTTGTTGTTTGGCTGAATGTGTATGAGATGAGATCATACTGGTGTATCTATTTGATGCAGTGTTTGTAATGTGTGTGAGAGAGAGTGTAGTGTTTGTGAGAGAGAGAGTGAGTGAGTGGAAAGGACACTTCTTGCTGGTTAGACTGAAAGGTCTTCGCAGTTTGCTCACTTGCAAGTTACTGCATTTACTGCTCTTTTGGACTTGTTCAAAAACTCGATCCTCGAATAAAAATAAAACAAGTCGGGGGATTAAAATCAAGTTTTTAATACATTTTAATAAAAATTGATAAAATTTATGGTTAAAAATTTGTGAAATTTATAAAACATGTGATTAAAATTAATTATTAACTTTAACTTTACGAAATAGGGATTAAGAGGGTGTTTGTTTTTTATTTGAGGATTGATTCTCAAATCAATTCTCATTTTCAATCACACATTTTTCAATAAAATAATATTTTCCATTATATCAATAATTTTTTCTTCTTTTTCAACCACACATTTCCCATCATATCACTATTCAAAAATCAATTCTTCCCCCAAAAATCTCTATCAAACAAGCTCTCTAAGTCTTTAACTTTGGATTTGTAACAAAAATAAAAAAGAAAAAAAAAAAACTCGCAGTGATAATAGGGCCCTGTTTGGGAGAGATTTTGATTTTTCTACAGTAAATCAATACTCATTTTCAACCACACATTTTTCAATAAAATAATATTTTCCATTATATCAATAATTTTTTCTTCTTTTTCAACCACACATTTCTCATCATATCACTATTCAAAAATCAATTCTTCCCCCAAAAATCTCTATCAAACAAGCTCTCTAAGTCTTTAACTTTGGATTTGTAACAAATGGCTCTCTAACAGCTCGTCTTTGTAACAAGTGGGCGATCGTCAGTTGATGAAAACTAGCTAGCTCTTCACACGCGACCACAACCTGCTCCGTCACTGCTATCGCATTTTTTTATTCTCATTCCTTCTCTATCAGCCATTGCTAATGAGTCACCGACCATCCCTAATGATCATTCACATAATTTGAACATATATACTTCTAGCTACTATCTAAAGGAGGAAAATGATTCTGTGACACAAGAGGGCTGCCCACCTCGGTGACCGACCCTCACAAGGGCGTGGGACCGATATGGGACCCGCGTGAAGTAAAAAATGGAAAAAAAAAGCCTCCCTCCCCCTAATGTGTGTATTCTGTCAGGAGGGGTGTCACACCCCCCTGTTACTGAAGCACGGTCCATCTAAACGATTTGTATCCGACTATCAAGAGATTACTTATCGACCACCGACCACAATGTCACTCCACACTCTCTCAAGTGTAGCAGCTCTTCCAGCTTATTTCTCAACTCACAACCATGAATTTAAGGGGAAAAAGTTAAACAAGTATTTCGATTGGTTAAGAAATAACTATTAAAAGTTGTGGAGTGTTGTGTAATTACCAATTCCTACGCAGAAGGAAATAAAAGCATTAATTGCAGTTGTCCACATCAAATCCCATTAAATAGTAAGGTAGGGATTTTCTAAAAAGGAAAGCGGATATAATGAGAGGGAAGGCAAACAATACACGAGTAAAATTGTTCTCATCACCCTTGTTCTAAAATGCGCATCTAAGACTTTAGTACACCGTCAAAGCGCGATTACGTGTGCATAATATCTTTTTTTTTCTTAATTTTTTATGTTAAAATTTAAAGGTTGATTTACATTTGAAACTTTTGAAAAAATGTATAAAATTTCTATAAATCTGTTTTAAATGTTTGATATGTATTATTTTTAGTTATTAAATAATTTTTTAATTGATTAAAAATTAGAATAATATTAAAATAAGAATTTTTACGCATTTACCTCGTCTAACCCATAGCTTAGCATCCACGGGTCCCACGCATTACGTCTTTTAGAATACTGTTGTCAACTATAGTGGTAATCGCGGCTTGGTTTCGACTATTTGTGCCATATTTTCAGTTCAAACCATTTTATGTGGTTTGGAATTTTTTCAAACAAAATAAAACCATTGTTTGAATTTGATTCGGTTTTAATCCGCGATTTACCTATTGATATTATAATAGTATATTTAAAACAGCTAATATATAAGTTTAAACGAAGAACTAATAATATTAAATGTTAAATTACGTTTATATTTGTCTGAAATTCGAAATAATAGCAAGTTAGCATAAGCAACGTGCTAATAGCTTTCTCCACCCAAACTTTTACAAGCAATATTGCAACAATAAAAAAGCAATAGCACCCCTTCAAACTTCATCTAAGAAAGTAGCAGCAGCACGTCGGCACCCTTTCATCAACAAAGCAAGCAAACATTCATGGTTAAAAAATGGGACAGTTAATGTTCTCTTTTACCTTTTGTTTTGAACCTTAGATAGATACTTATTGCACAATTGCGCAAGGTGATTCTACGATGTACTAGTTCCGCAGTTTTTAGTATGAGAATTTTATAGAAAAATTTCAGTCGTTTCTAATGTGAGGAGAAGCGAGTAATTGGAATGGGCAAATAAAGAAAGATGCATGAAACATCATAGATATTTTATATGGCAATGCAATGGACGATATATTTGGGTTCGGTTGAAAAAGCACCACCAACCACTCATTTAACCCGTAACATGGTCAAATAGTGACAAATAATAATAATAATAATAATAATAATAATAATAAGAAGAAGAAGAAGAAGAAGAAGAAGAATAAAGGATTTATTTCCAACTACAAATTGGTATTTAAAAAAAAAAACTGTAAAATTTATAATGTAATAAAATTTATTTATTTTTTTTTTTTTATTTTGAATGGTTTGGTTTGATTTTATGCGATTTTTGAAAATCGAAACCTAAATCAACCAATTTTGAAAGAGTTTGGTTCGATTTGGGGGGAATAATCTCAGGTCCACGTGGAACTAAACCAACGATTTCAAATCATCGGTTTTGATTTGATTCGTAGTTTTGCATTATTTTTTTTGTACAGTCCTAGTTAACTAGCTAGTTGGTAGTACTAGGAAAATGAAGAGAAATCTAACAGTGAGAAAAACTAATAGGTAGAATTCGAGTTTGTTGGGGGCTAACGCGAAATGCTAGTAAAAGAAAAAAAAATTCCAATACTCACATATCATGAATTATTCCATGTCACTATTTAGCCCCTGATTAGTGCCGCTTGAGCCCCATTTTTATTTAGGAATGCATTTTGAAATAGTAAATTGATGGAGAATGTGTGATTAAAAAAAAATTTTGATTTGTGTATAATATTATTTTATTAAATAAAATGTAATTGAAAGAAGATAGAAAAATATATTTTGAAAATAATGTGTATCAAACAAGGGTTTAATGTCTATTAAAATGAATTTTTTGGGGAAGTAAATTTTGGAATATTGATTTATTTATTTTTTTGGATAATGTGTTGTTAAAAATGAGGATTTTTTTTAAAAATTTTTCGTGCAAAATATTTTATTGTGTGAATATGCGGTTAAAAATGAGTTTTAAAAAAAAAGAATTTTGATTTAATAAATGCTAGGCATGGGCTTAATTGATATTTGTTTTGAATAATTGAAATTTAGTATTTAATTGTGATTAGACATTTGATGAATAATATACGTGTCAATTGAATATTAACAGAGTAGAAATTTTATTAGAAGCGAAGAAGAATAGTTATGGTATATTGAGGGTAAATGAAATGTGTGAGACCGTGAGACATTTGACTAGAATGTCATCATCTTTCCTTAGTTTATGTGAACATGTGAAAGTAAGGTAGAATTACTTAAAAACAGGGGCGAAGCTAGGATTTAGTGGTATAGGGGGCAAAAATTTTCAACAGTGGGCTACTGAGCTTAAACGGTGGAAAAACAATGGGTATAATAATTAAAAAAAAAATTTAAAAAGCGGGTGGGCATGGACAAAGGCGGGCTTCCCACCCCTACCTCCGACAGTGCTTAAAAACGTAATTATTTAACATTTCTCAACACGCACAATGCTTTCCCCATTTTTATTTCTAAAACATAATATATATTCACACAAGCACATGTTAACATGTTGCCCAATAAATAACATAATTACAACATCTTAGATGGTAAATAAATATATCTATTCAATGTCACTTTATTTGAAAATTTACTAATGCTTACAAGACATATATGAAAACACGTGCTTTAAATTCTACGATCCTTTGAACACAGAATGTGGCTCGACCATTTTGAAATGTGCTCACTTACTAGACTCTCGAGTCTTCAAAAACTAATGCGGTCCATGGCAAAGCACCACTAAAATCTTATCGTTGGGTTTATTGAATGGAAATTATCTTATATCTAAGCAAGAACTAATATACCCGTGATATTATGTTCAATTTATTAAACACCTTGAAATCAATTTAAGAAGGTTTATATGTTCTAATACTAAGAGGGTGTTTAGTGGGAATTAAAAATAGATTTTTAGTAGATTGTGATAGAAATTTTTGAAATGTCTGGTTGAAAAGTTGTGTGGCCCATGAAAGATGTGGTTAATGTTGATTGTTTAACTTTGAGTTGAATTAAAATTAGATTTTAATCCGGACCAAACATGGCTTAAAACAAAATACAATTTTTAGATATTTTCTCTCGTTGAAAAGTGTGTCAAAAAAGTCTCGAGTCAAAATCTTGTTTGGTTTAGTTGAATATAGCTTGAAATGAGTCAACTTATATTAAAAACTTTGCCAAAAATGAAAATTATCATAACAACATATATTGATGAAATATCAAAAACTCCCACTTTG